CAGAGACAGGCTCGGAGCCATGGAGATTGGAAGGTCGCCTGGTCCTCCCCTCGGAAGAGGATGACTCGCAGGCGGCTCACATTGAGAACCCGGCCAAGTACAAAGTGGACGATATTGTGCGGGATGTGGAGAAGGTGTGGCAGAGGCAGATTGTACCGGAGCCTCGAGTCTCTTGTGTGCAGAAAGGTGGCCTGCTCGAGAAAATCGAACCGGAGCAAAAGCCTGAGTCTCAACCTGAGGGTGACATTGATATGGAAAATGCCGACAGCCACTTTTTGGATCAGTTGGGCTCACCGGGAACAGCCGCAGGTGTTTCAACAATCCAGGATGCCGGCCAGACTGGGCCAGCACATGTTCCTAATCCGGCCGGCGCACCTGGTGCGGGTGGGGCAGTCCCACAACAGCCTCAACCGGCAGCGCACGTCCCTCAGCAGGGCCCCTCTGCCTCTTTGGATATCGAAATGGATATGGGCGATCAGCAACCTGCGAGTGCCGCCGGGGAGACTGGAGACTGGGTGATGGTCAACGAAGAGAAGAAGGACCAGCCTGTCCCTGGCGATAGCTCTTTACCTGGTGTCGATACCCCGGGCAGCGGCCTCCAAGGATTGACCCCCGGCAACGCAGGCAGTGCCGGGGACAATGGTCTTGACGGGGCCAACTTCGACTTTACCAACATGGACAGCGCTGGCGACGCACTCGCCGCGTACACCGAGCAGAATGATGGGCTGGATCTTCCCGATCTGGAGAACTCCGCTTTCGGAGACGCTTTCCATGCGTCGGATGATGAAAATACCCACCACCACGATGCTGACGACATGTCGTAAGAGAGACGGCTGCCGACGGGGGTGTTTCGGGATAGTTCTAGATGTCTTGTAATGAATCGGTGCGGTGTTGATGGTATGACATTCAACCACTTGGTTTGGCGCTAAATTTGTTTCTTTCGGTCGTCTTCCGGCCTTCGCAGCGCTGTCAGGGATAGGTCGAGGTGGAGACCAGTGTAGAGATAGGAGTAAGCCATCTTGCTATTTTCTCCTGGACTTGAATCAATCAGGTGACGGGGTTTCAAATCTACTTATAATTTCATTTCATATTCATGATCAGGGCAATCTCTGCGGTATCCTACAGCAGCTATGCTGGACTTCTAGTATCCCTGGATAGTATTACTGTTGTATCGCAGGATAATATTACTATTGCATGCCACCTCAACAGCCATTCCGTACTCTCACAACATCAGCAGACTGCCAGGAACTCATCCAGGAGGAAAACAGCCCCCGTGCCCGTTCAAGCGAGCTGGTTATTTCACCTCAAGACACTCCCAATCTTAGGGCACGGCAGGCCAGTCCGTCACATCGCCACATCACCACCCACCGACCCTCAATTTAAGTCCCCTGTCAAGTCATAACCCAGCATCAGAGGAACAAACACACAAGTACACCCCTTCTAAATCATATTACTCCCCAGAATGGATGGTTAAGAACCCCATCACCCCATCAGCGGGACCGATCATCCGCATTAGATGCGCCATTTGGGGGGAGGGGGGGTCAAGTGATCCCGTTCCCGGAGGCACGCAGAATAGGATAAAACAACTTCCCATCACTTGCTCAAAACTCATTTCTCTAATGATCTTTGAGAACTGTATGTCTGTCTTAAGAGAAATGATACCCATGGACTTTCTCCCAAACTTCACCTCCGTGTGCGGGCTGTGCCACTGAATCTGAAACAGACGGGTATCTGGATCCCCCAAATTTGAGGTCATTCAGTATAAGTTCTGAGGCTGAATTGTTGAAGTCCATAGAATTGAGAATCATTCAACAGTGCCCCGGGCTAGCGTAGCAGCCGCATACTATCCCTCTTGCTCTTGCCCCTACATCCAGATCTATTCTCTCGTTTCTAGCCCCGTGCGCTTTCTATACGCTGTACGATACCCAGCTACGATATACAGCAACGCGATGTGCTTCACAGACTGCGCCGAGGAAACCTGCAGCGTCTGCTTCAGGGAATACCGAAGCCGCAGCAGCCGCAGCCGCAGCACCAGCAGCCGCAGCACCAGCAGCAGCAGCCCCATCCGCCCCCCACCGCGGTGCTACTCCCCGCGTCGTCGTTGTCGTCCCGCGGCCGCCGCTCCCTCCTACACGACCGTCCGCCGAAGCCGGTGCCGGACCGTCGAGGAATCTCTGATTCCGATCCGGGTGGATGTGGAACGGCCGCGGCCGGCGTGGGTGGATGTGCGTCGCGCGTATCGGTGTATCCCGGCGGCGGTGGAATGCGTTGAAATCGTGGAGCCGGAGGAGTGTCTTGTTGTGAGTCGATGGGGGCGATGTGGAGGACGGGTTTGGGAGGTGGAGAGGGAGAGGGACTCTGAAGTGGGTTGTGTGGAGGTGGAGTATATTCCTGCTCGTTGTTAGATCCCCCGGGGATGGGAAGAGGAGTGTAGGGATTGCTGAGGTTCTGGTTAGAATGTGTGCGTTGCTTGTGGTTTCGTTTCGTTTGATTAGTCTGTTGGTGTATGTTTGTCATGTTTGAGGTTCAGTTCTGAGTACGATGCACAATGTACAAGCACATGACCCACTCAACTCCTCCGATCTCAGATCCTGCAATGCCCGTCCGATCATCGAAGGACGATTAAACTCCATCTCACCCATGGGATCGAGATAATCTGCAAGCGGGCAATGACTTCAACAGCATCCGTCCATGCCCGCATGACGTCACGGCATGAGCATACGCCATCGCGACAATCCTTCTGCTGGCTGATGCGCCACGGCATGAACTACTGCCCCGTCGAGGTTCGTCTCTTACTTAGTAGTGGCTCCACCGGTGATCGATCTTTGACATTATCTTTCTGGATTTGTGTTTCAGATGTCGACACAATACTACAGTACTCTACCTCGAACAATCTGCAGCTGACTGCCTTACTCACATTGAGTACTACCTCTTCAAAGCAAGTAATTTGTTCGTATAGGGAAGGAGCGATCTTATCTCGAACGTCATATCGTTCCTGTTTCCTGTTTCAGAGCATCCGGCGCAATTGCACCCACGCTCTCTCTCCCTCTCTCTTACTGTATGATCCGAGACAAACCAGCAGCGTCACGCACGGAATAAAGTATCATGGCAATCATGTATGCAAGCCAGCCCTTCGAGCCTCTCATGCCGACAGGCAAAATGCATGCAGTATTTCGCGGCTGACCGCAACCTCAGGCACCGCAACATGTCCATCCGGGGCCGGAGGAATTCCGTGCCCAACCGGTCCCGGTTTAGCTTCTCGACGCTCCGCGGCCACCAGCAGCCCGAGACCAGCCGGCGGCTCAACCAGCTCATCAAGAACGAGAACGCGGCCATCGGCGCCCACGAGAAGGCGGGCCGGGAGCGCGTCTCCATCGCCAACCAGCTGTCCGATTGGGGCGAGTGGACGGAGGACGATGCTGTCTCGGACATCACGGACAAGCTCGCCGTTTTGATGGCGGAGATGGGCGAGCAGGAGGACAACTTCGCCCAGTACCTCGAGGAGTCCCGCGTGGTCCTGAAACATATCCGGGACACCGAGAACTCGGTGCAGCCGTCGCGGGACCAGCGCGCCAAGATCGCCGATGAGATTCAGAAGCTCAAGTGGAAGGAGCCGCAGAGCAACCGGATTGATATCCTGGAGCAGGAGCTCGTCAGGGCCGAGGCGCAGAGTTTGGTGGCCGAGGCGCAGTTGACCAATGTGGTATGTCTCCCGAAACGCCTTGTAAAGGAGGAGTAGAGGTGATCAGAGAGATATTGACTGTGAGATTTCCAGACTCGATCGAAGTTCAAGGAGGCCTATGATATCCACCTGGCTGCTGTTATTGAGCGGGGAGAAAAGCAGATCTTGCTGGCCCGTCACGCACGCCGTTTGCTCAACCATCTGGATGACACTCCGGTCGTCCCGGGAGACTCCCCTCGGGAGTATGACCAGATTTCGGCCACAAGGCAGGTCATTGAGGATGCCGAGAACGAACTTCGCACGTGGGAGAGCAGCGCAGAGCCCATTCATACTTCAGCGGGGGACGCTCTGGACAGCACCCTTTTGCCAAGGTCCGGTCGTGGCGTTCGTGACTCGCAAGGAGCTTATGCAGTCGAGACAACTGCCTCAGACTCCGTGCGAGACGTGAACGGTTCCGCAGAGGGGTCGTATGCCCAAGAAACTGGGGCGAACGGATATGCCCGTGATACCCCCGCCGAGCCGTATGCCCAAGGAACTGGGGCGAACGGATATGCTCGTGATACCCCCGCCGAGCCGTATGTGAACGGCCACGGTACCGAGGCAGATGATGAAGCTCATCAGGAGTCGTATGCTAATGGAACGGATCATGACCGCTACGTCGACGGTGCCGGCTCTGAGCTGTATGCTGACACCTCCGCCCCGGAGCCCGCAACCACCAATGCTGCTGAAGAACGCTATACCGACGGTACAGCTCAAGACCCAGCCATCATCAGTGGAACCGAGGCGCAATCCAGCAATATCCCCGATACTGAGAAGTACACTAGCGAGGGAGTTCAGGGACAGACTGCCAACGGGGCTATTTCTGAACCTGTTGGCAAGACCAGCGAAGAGCTGCCGCGGACATCAGAGGACCTGCAGTCGGCGCATATCTCTCGCGGCTCTGAGGTTCCATATGTATCAAGCCCTATCCCTGCGCATCCAGTTGCCGTTCCGATTTGATTCGATTTGATTCTTGCCTGTTCATGTTCGATCTGGATTTTGGGTCTCTTGCATGTTTTATGCGCCACTCCTGTTACTATGAAAATGTAAACATAGATTGAGTTTGTTTCGTGGGCTGGTCGAGTATAAGCAGCAATGTGATTATTGATTATTGATGATGCTCTTGTGAAAAGACAAGTAAGAAGTAACTATAGCACAGCCCATAGTAAATAGTGTAGGTAAACGGATCAGTCAGACAGCAGCCGGCGGCACGTGATCCAGGCGGCCAGCGTGACGCGGACGGAGGGATTGGAGCTCCCAGCATCATCATTCAGGAAGCTCCCGAGCTGCATCTGCCATCTTCATCTCATACTTCTCCATCCACCTTCCGCTATTTGCCGTGTCCTTGCTTCCTCACCTCCTCTCTTACCACTTGTTTCGAACCCAGCAATCGATTCTCGCACATCATGGATAAATTGGTCGCCCAATACACGCGGGCGCCGCACCAGAATGAGTTCTACTCCGAGCAAGAACAGCGTGAGCTCACCGAGAGCCTTCCACCTCTGTCCTTGAAATTCAGCCTTCCTCCCGTCGATAATGTGAGCAACTGTGCTATCCGATTCTGCGTGCTATTCGGACATCCCTCTTTTGGTGGACATCGATACGAACTGTGTTCGGAGTCGACGCCGCCGCCGCCGCCGCCCGAATAGACACTATGAATTATCCCTCCCCTCACGGAGTCCAAGAACGACCAGCTAACCCCTGAATCCAGTCCAGAGCCTTCCTCCGTGCTATGACCGATGACCACTCAAACCCCAGCTGCCCCATCAAACTTGCCCACGGAACGACGACGCTGGCTTTCCGTTTCCAGGGCGGAATTGTATGCCGTCATTCTCCACCGTTTTCCCCAATCCCGTGCTTTTGAGAGAATAACCACTGACGCGCTTGACTCTGGGGAAAAGATCGTCGCGACCGATTCCAGAGCCACCGCTGGAAACTGGATCGCCAGTCAGACGGTGAAGAAGGTTATCCCTGTTTCGCGGTTGAGCCGCGGCGAAGACAAGCCGACGAACGAGCCGACTCCGGGTCTTTTGGGGACCATGGCTGGTGGTGCTGCTGTATGTGTTGCCTGGTTTGCGAGACTTTTGCAGAAACAAAAGAAAGCTGACGGCATGCGCTTGCCGCCCCCGGCTCGTAGGATTGTCAATATTGGTTGAGATATCTGAGCCAGCAATGCACACTTCACGGTAGGCTTCCCCTTCCCTGTTTCCGATTCCGATCGTGCACAGCCGCTAAACTTTCGGGTTGAATAGAGATCCGACACAAGCGCCGTATCACCGTTGCCGCGGCCTCGAAAATTCTCGCCAACCTCACATACGCGTACAAGGGCATGGGTCTGAGCATGGGTACGATGTTAGCAGGCGTACGTTTTGTCCCACCGTCCCCCCTCCCCTCCCCGGCCCATCTTACTTTCAGGGATGATGCTCTAACATTTCAAATACATTACAGATGACCCCGCAAGAAGGCCCCGCCCTCTACTACATCGACTCCGACGGCACCCGGCTGGCCGGCAACCTCTTCTGCGTCGGCTCCGGCCAGACCTTCGCCTACGGCGTGCTGGACGCCAACTACCGGTACGACCTGACCGAGGAGGAGGCCCTCGAGCTCGGCCGCCGAAGTATCTTGGCCGCCATGCACCGCGACGCCTACTCCGGTGGCTTCATTAACCTGTACCACGTCAAGGAGGAGGGCTGGGTCCACCACGGCTTCAACGATATGAACCCCATATTCTGGAAGACGAAGTTGGAGAAGGGGGAGTTCTCGAACGTTACGTCGGAGTTGTAGACCGGTTTCAGGACCAGGGGGTGGGTGGGGTGGGTGGGGAACGATGCTAGATAGATTTAGGCTCTCTAGGCAGGTTACCCTCTTCGGTGGTAGTGGTAGTTGTTAGTTTTCTTCCGGTCTTTGTATGGGGGTGCGCGGATAACTCCTTATGAAATGATCAAACTTTGATACTTCTGACAATTTGCTTTTCTGAGCTCTGGGGGTTCTGTGAGACCGTAGGTACTTCACTGGCTTAGGATAGCAGCATGTACCTTTCCAGAAGGACATTCTAGCCTGGCTGCGAGCTATCGACAGTCAGTCATGCAGACAAATAACAAGAGATCAGGTACTACACTACACCACGACGAACCCGTACGTCAAACCCAACCATCGCAGTTGAAAAGAGAGGAAAAGAAAAAATCTTATTCACAGCAACAGAAACTACATCACAAATCCATACCATATGTGTGTGTGTGTGTGTGTGTGGGGTGAAGTGGCATACAAACGTCGTCTCCAAGACCAAGCACAAATTAAGAAAAACAAGTTGCTGAAATACGCCCATCTATGACAAAAAAGAAATACGGCAATCAATGCTTTTTTTGGGGTTTGGGTTTAACAAGACACAGTCTGGCCTAGGGGGCTAATTATCCACTCGGAACTTCATCCGGATACCCATGGCAGCGAGTTCGACATCCAGGTACCGCAGCACGCCCGGCACGGCGACGACGGTGACGTTATCGCCGCCGACGTAGCGACGGCCGTCACCGTCCTCCCAGACGACGGCGCGGGAGTCGTCGAAGACGGCCTCGCGGGCGCAGCGACGACAGCGGACGAGGCCGGACAAGCCGCTGGGGCCGTGGTGGTCTTTGCTGCTGGCGGACTGGGAGGAGGCGGCCTTGGCGGCGGCGATGCGGGCCTTGCTGGAGCCGGCGGCGGAGGCGACGACCTGGGTGGAGAGGAAGGAGCCGCAGTCGCGGCAGATCCAGGAGCGGGTGGAGTCGGAGCAGTTCATGAGGCGGTCCTGCAGGAGGAAGGCGGCGCCGTGGGCGATCAGCGAGTCGCGCTCCATCTCGCCGACACGGATACCACCGCCCTTGGCGCGGCCCTTGACGGGCTGCCCAGTCAGGTTGTTGACGGGGCCCGTGGTGCGGACCTGGAACTTGTCGTTGACCATGTGACGCAGACGCTGGTAGTGAACCACGCCGATGAAGATGTCCGCCGCGAACTCCTTGCCCGTGATGCCGCTGTACAGCGGCTCGTTGCCGAAGTAGTTGTACCCGGCCTTGCGCAGCTGCTGCCCGAAGTAGTCCACCGCCGTGTTCTCCTCGGAGAACTGGAACGGCGTGCAGTCCTGCGGGTGGCCGTGGAGGGCTCCGGCCTTACCGGCCATGGATTCGACCATTTGGGCGATTGTCATACCTGTTTGGAAGAGCGGTTAGATAAATCTTGAGGATATGTTGTCAATTGGGGGGGAGGAGGGGCTTACGGGAAGGGAAAGCGTGAGGGTTGATGATCAGGTCGGGCTGGATGCCACTCTCGGAGAAAGGCATGTCCACGGCGGGCCAGAGCTGCGAGCAAACACCCTTCTGTCCGTGACGAGAGGAGAACTTGTCACCGATGATCGGCTTACGGGGGATGCGGTACTTGACGCTGATCGACTGGCAGGGCTCGACACCGGATTCGGCTCCCAAGATGCGCAGGCTGTCGATGTATCCTTCTTCCGCGTCCTTGTACTTCACGAAGTGGGTGATGCCATCCACGTTCACGTACGAGTCGCTGGCGGCGTCGTACCGCACGTTGTGCCACGCCGCAACATAGCTGCCTTCCGTGACTCTGGCACCAATGTGAGGCAGACCGTCTTCATCGAGGGTGGCACGCCACTCGGCCTTGATCTGGTCACCGGGGGCAAAACCGAAGAGCTTGGTAATCTCACGGCGGGATTTGCCGCGGCGGGAGTCGTTGTCGTCAAGGCCATGGACCTTAGTCTTGTAGATCGTACCGTGGCCGAAACCACGTTCGTGCGAGGATTTGTTGATGATCATAGCGTCGTCCATGTCGTAACCGGTGTAGGAAATAATAGCAACAATAGCGTTCGTACCGTTGGGGAAGTTGTCCAGACCGTAGGCGTTGTAGAGCGGCGACCGCACGATCGGGGTCTGACCAGTCTGCAACCGGTACAGCTTATTGTCGGTACGGTAATCGATGGCAGTACCAGGCGTACCCATTGTCTGTTTGCTCATCTGACACTGGTACATGTTACGAGGAGATTGGTTTTGATCGGAGAATGGCGTCATGTTGGCGACAATGGAGAACATGTTCGTAGGAGTGAACTCAATGTGAGTGGAAACACCCGAGATGAGATCGTTGGGCATGCAGGCAATCTCCATGAAGGGCTGCTCGAATGGGCCGACGTAGTCGAGCTTGCCCAAGGGCAGGTACTTGACGGGTCTGAACATTCTGGCGGCCTGCGAGAACATGTAGATACCAGGATACTGACCGCCATTGGAGTTGGGGACGTAGCCAATCTCCAGCTCGAGAGGGATACGGTCATCTCCTGCCACCTTCCAGCGTCTTAGCGTGTTGGCAATCGCGCCAGCTTGCTTGGGAGAGCAGTATCCAACAACGCGTCCGTCCAGCTGGACAGTCACGCTCTCCTCCACAGAAACAGATGACTCAGAACGAACGCCCAGCTGCACCAAAACCTTGGGAATCTTGGATACATCAACGTCACTAGTCGCGATCAAGCACTTGTGCGCAAGATGGTTAAGCAGACCACAAGGAGCTCCATCAGGAGTATGTACAGGGCAGAAGAAACCCCAACTCTCAGGCAATAGCTTACGGACCGTGGTGGTCTTGAGCTGTGCGAAGAAGCTACCTCTGTGAATCATGCGGAAGTGACTGATGAACCGGTAGAAGTTGATCTTTTCGGCCATGACAGTATAACCGGATGCCTGTTGTAAATCGAGACCAGTGGGACTGACCAGGTTACCGGTGGAAAGGAAATATTCAAGAGCTCCTCCGATGTTCTCGTTGGACCGCTTCACAACCTTGCTAAGGAAATCCCTCTCGAATGCGGAATCGGTGAACTTGGCTCCGCTGTTGCGGTTGGACCAGTCCCTCAGAATGGGGCTGAAAGACCTCACCCATTCCTCGAGCCTTTCCTTGAGAAGCATTCCGTAGAGGAAACCACCAAGAAGGATTTCTTGGTTGGAGACCGCATCCGGATTGTCCGGCGCGCAATCTCCGGCAACCAATGCATAGAGCTTTCGGATCATGAACAGGATCATCTTGAACTTGTCGTAATCCTGGGTTTCGGTGACGTTGTGGCAGCCCAGGTGGGGTAGGACGACCTTGCGGAGGAACTCGGTACCAGCATCTTCGTTGGACATGTCGGCCGCGACTCCAAGAACAGGCTTGAACTTCTCTCCGAGATATGCCCGGCAGGCCGAGCGGCTGTGCTTGTTGTATGCCTTGTATGTCCGAAGCAGCAACTCCACACGATCCGTGATGAATGTGTTCTTGATGCCCTCAGACGAGGCACCGCCGACGATTCCCTCGAAGATTTCGCGATCGTTCGTCTCCACCAAGGCCTTGAGGATCATCATCACCGGGATGAGATACTCGTTCTTTCTCCAGGAGAAACGGAAGGTCAGGTTGCCGTCGGTCAAGTAGTGTAGAGAGTTCGTTTGCGATGTCTGATCTGGCCGTACAGACCTGATCTGGATACCGTATTTGGTGTAGGTGTGGCCACGCTTGACGAAGGAACCACGGATGATCGCCATGGGGTAGTTTCGCTTTCCGACCACCAACATTCGAATGAGTTTCTCGTTTCCGTTGACAATGAAATAACCACCCAGCTCCTCCGATTCTTCCTTGTGCTCGACGAGTTCATGAGGGGTCGCCTTCTCGAGGTGGCATCGGTTGGTCTGCCAGCGTGGTCAGTAACTGCGGACCGCCACCGGACACACAAAGTCCCAACTCGTCGTCAACTTACCCTCAGCATAATGGGGACCTGGCCCAATTCTCGGACCGACTCCATCCAATCGCCATTGTTGACCTGCCACTCAATGCGAGCGCGCAGCTTTCCGCGGTAGGTCGCGTGCCTCTCGCGACATTCCGAGGGATAGATATTGCGGTTGCGAGTCGCGAACTTGTTGGTAGGGGGCAGTGCGGGCTTCTCGAGGAAAACTTCACTGATCCGAACGTTGAGCCGGTTGCGTCTCGGAGCCTTGCGACCCTCCGCAATACGAGCCTTCTTCTGTTCGGGGGTTTCAACATCACCGTCGAGGAAAGTCTTGGTGCCAATGTCCTTCAGGGCCTCTTCCAAGGTCTTGGGACCGTCGAAGAGGGCATTGAAAGAATCGACGTGCGGCCGGATGGAGGCGGCCAACGCTGGGTATGCGGTATGATCGGTAGGAGGGTTCCTGAAGAGCTTCTCCCGCTTCAGGGTATCGTAGTTGACAGACCAATTGGTGTCTGTCGCTGTGGGAGCCATGGTGAGAGAAGCGTCTGGCGCAGTAGCAGCGCTCTTTTGATACCCAGAAGACTGGAGTGAGACCCCAAGTTCAGTCTGAGGAACGGACGAAGCCTCATCCTCGACCGACGGGGAAATTTTTCGAGGTGGACCCGACGGACAGATATCATCACGTGCTGATAGCTCTGTGTATAGCCTGAGGCATAAGTCACGGGATTGAGGGGAAGGGGCAGAAAGGTGCAGACCGCCATTCGCATCAATCACGGGACTAACACACGGGACAGGGGTTCCGCCTTACCACCTTAGGCAACAAGGCAAAGACCTGGCCGCCGGGGAACTGCCCATGCCGGGCCCGGGCGGGCCTCTTCACACCTCAATCCATCAATCAGACAATCAATCAATCCACAATCAATGGCGGCAGTGGACCCGTTCTCCGTCGTCATTGATGCTGGTTTAGTAGGGAACTATCGGTTCCAGGTCGAGTCTAAGTGGACGCCAGTCTGCTGGATGTTCCCAGTTCCTGCGCTGATGGACTAGTTTCGCCTCCTGGGTTTTCAAGCAGCCAGACAGATAAGTCAAAGGGACGATTTGAGACTGACTTCGTACTGTACAGTCAGTCTTGGTCCTGTTGGCGACAGATATACGAGAAGCCCGTCGCCGACATGAGCGAACAGGATGGCCGGCCATTGGTTATTAATTGCGAGGGCAGCAGTTCCATACTGACCTTATATAATCTGTTTAATCTGAATGCTCCCGGAAATTACCGTCATGTCATTCCTTTGGATACATTTTTCCACGCTGGTAACTTCTTAGTCACTGACCGGTCTCACTAATCGCAGACTATCAGTCTGCTTAAAGTTAGGTGACTTACAGCTTGTGGTTAGTCGGAATATCCTCCACCTTCACCGATCAACTCTTTTGAAGGGAAAAAGCTGCGACTGGAAGATAGGCTGTCATACTACGGAATACCTGGTATTCTGAGCATTCGAGCAGAGTTCTGACAGACTTGACACAGACCTTGACAGGGGACTGGGCAGGACTACTAACTAGAGAGAGCACTGACTAGTAGGCGCTCCCCTCCCTCCTTCGCCCTCCCTCCTTCTCCAGCCGCGGCGGCGGCGGCGGCGGCGCAGGCGCAAGAGCGAACGGTCATGCGTGCACATACTCGTACTCAGTAGATCGATCCATCCATCAACGCTGCTCGGTCTCACCACAAAGCGGCAAAGAAAAAAAAAAGAGTAAGGCTTCAGAAAGAAGAAATTATTCTTATTGCTTCCCTCTGTCACCACACCCACACTGAGGCTTTGTCCAAAAAAACTTGGAAACTTGCCGCCTTTATCGGTGCTTAGTGAATTTTACTTTCTTCTTTTCCCACCAGCCTTGACCTGACTTGACCCTTTACAATAGCAATAATACGACAACAACAATCTGCCGCAGTTTGGCGGAATCCCGACTTGCATCTCCAGGTCACAGGTTGCTGCTTTTCTACGCCGCCTCCTTTCGTCTCTATATCCTTACAGTTCTTCTGCTCGCTGCGACTGACTTCTACGTTCCTACTCCTTCTTCCTCCTCTGTTTCGTTGGTTGAAGACGGCGGCTCTCCCTTCGAACGGCAGGCAATCCCCACCCCACGGTGACCCAGCACCTTAACACAACGTACACCAACGTCCGTGTGTCCGTGGAAACTCGATATCACCGCCCACACCCCGGTTGTCGATCGCCCACCCACCGAGCCAAGCTGCAGTTTTCCACTTGCTCTTCGAGCAACACAACTTTCTAAGAAATTCCGACCACCACTTTTCCTTCTCAACTTCCCACTACCAATATGGCGGGTATCTTTCGAACGATCTATGACTGGCTTCTGAGGATGTTTTGGTAAGTGGGCCGTGGCCCCCCTCTCCCCGACCAAGTAAATCGGTTTCTTTCCGGAGATGGTCCCTCCATCCTGCGGCCCGTCCCCCGCCCAGAAGGCATAGGATGACTTGCTAAGAACGCTTGTATACGATGCCTCTGTAGGGCAACGGAGATGGATGTCACGATGATTGGGCTCCAAAATGCAGGAAAGTCTTCTTTGTTGCGTGTTCTTGCGGTATGTCTTGGCCATCATGATCCAGCCGAAACTGTCATCGCTCGGGGGCGCAACCACTAATCACAATCACAGGGCGGCGAGTTCACTGTAGAGTAAGTCCGACCGCATCAGGTCTGGACCAAAGATGGCGCAGAGTCAGCCGATCGCTAATGCACACTGGTAGTTCGATCCCTACCATTGGGTTTAACACAAAGCGTGTCCAAAAAGGACATGTGACTCTGAAGTGGTGGGTACCCTGCTCTGGTATCGAGCTGTCGCATAAGCCGTCAGTGTCATGGCTAACATTCAGTGCAGCTGGGATTTGGGGGGTCAGCCGCGATTCCGACCGATGTGGGAGCGGTATTGTCGAGGCGTGAATGCGATCGTGTAAAGCATCCTTCTCTCCTGGACAACAACGTCAGGCGATGGACGTCACTGACTCTCACCATTAGTTACATTGTGGATGCAGCAGACCGCGCCGCTCTGCCAGTTGCGACGGAAGAGCTGCATGACCTGATGAAAAAGTCCACGCTCGATGGGATCCCGCTCCTCGTGCTGGGAAACAAATCGGATCTCCCCAATAAGTTGTCGGTGGATGATCTGATCGAAGCGATGGACTTGAAATCCATTACCCACCGGGAGGTGAGCTGCTATGGTATCAGCGCGAAAGAAGAGACCAATCTCGATGCAGTCCTGCACTGGTTAATCGCGCGCGCCAGCCGATAGAGGTGACTGACCCGAGGATGGCAGCCGAGGGAATCGACCGAGTGATCGAGCCCTCGTCATCTTTTCATTCTTCATCTCGTTTGCGAGATTGGAGATCGTAGACTGCAGCCGTTGTTCGCGGCTGGCGGCCTATTTGTAACGATGTGAACGTTTTCTGTGAGCCAGGCACATTGTTCGATTTCTAGCGAAGCTTTCCGTTCCATGGATGTTATGTTAATGAGATAGTCATTGGAGTTGTTATCGCATATCTTGCATGTAATCTATCATCAAATTGAAGAGAGCAGATCATCGATCGAGAAGATAGGTGCCGTGACCGGCCCACCTCTACCCCAAAAAGAGAGATCCGAGGTGGAGAATGTGTCTGATGTGTGAGAGATGTAGAATCCGTTAGTGCGCCTCGGTTTGACTCGAGTATAAAAGGGAAAGTCGTAGAGAGAGCGCCATCAGTCGCACACTTCATTGCACCGGGCAACGCTGCAAGAACGGGAACATTGGCACTTGTTGATTGAAGGGCATGACCTTCTTTTCATTCAGAATATTAGAGAGGATGTTAATTGAGGGGGGAATAGGGAGGAGGGGAAAAGGAAAGAAACAACAGGGCAAACCCAAACAAAAGGGAAGGCCCGACACACACGCAAAACGCACACAGACCAAGTGATGCGTTGGCATTGCAGATGCGAAGACGGGAACTAAGCAAGCCCTTCCCATGTCTTTCCAGCAAATCCCAGCCCCGCCAACAGGGTCCAGCGAAGGTTCCGTGGCCCTGCCCGTTTGCGCGCTGTCATCGCACACAGCACTGGTGATTGGGTTGTGGGTGGTTGGTATTCTTTGAAGTTGAGTACATTAGCTACAATGTATAAAGTAGTCAGATTGGAGACTTTATGTTGGGACAGGAATGCACTTGACTGGATTAGAGTAGCTCCCTCTCATTTGCGCTATAATACTGCAGATAGTAAGTAAGTGTGGCTGCTAAGTTTTACTAACAATAGGTTAAGCATGAGCTTGGGTGTAGGGAGCATTGCTGTGTCGGGTTGATTCTTCCTCTTCGCTACACCGGGATTTGGAATGGCATAGATGCCAGCAATCCGTTGGTTGGACCCATTAAACCAAGATCACTGACAGCACTGCCACTTGTATGCATAAAGTGCATAAAAGCTTTCCCCGTACAGTGGCCCTCAACAGGACGTCGCGCGAATACTATGGATCCGGTGCTCTGGTCCTCTGGTCTGCCTTGCGGTGGATGATATCATGCCGAGCCAGCACAGCCTCGAAAAGTGTGTTTGGAGTGTCCGTCCACGGTAGCTCGAATCGATCGGACAATTTACTCGTGGCACCGGATCACGAGATGTGAGTTCAAGGAAGAAAGCTCGTGATGTGATGCTGACTTAACTTGTAGTTGTCTGTAATGCAATACAAATCTTTGTTTCTATCCGACCGTCGATTGCGGGTGGCGGGTCATCCGAGGTATCCGATGCCATGCTACTGTACTAGACATAATATGAGTAAGGTATGGCAAGCAGGCACCAAAATTGATTTCACGTGAGGTCGAATGAGGTACGAAGGACGGCGAAAGGATCAGGGATTAAGTTGTGAAGGTGAGGAGAGCCTAAGACAGGCTTCATTGTGCTCCGTAGTTTTTTAGTTTGTACAAAGTTATGCAGTTGTTGGTCCCCACATGCGGTGATGAAGTGTGGCTGAATGTACAGAGACAGTGCATACATACAGGATAGGATAAGTACTGGAGCAAGGATGACCTCGGATGACTTCATTACTCAGGGTGCTCTTGTGAAAAGGAAAAGGAAAAACCCCGATGGTAACTCGAATTGATTCAATGTCACGGTCGATGATGTAAACATTCAATCTCTGACTTACTCATGTTTCAATTTTAGGAAGGCCAAGAGGAGGAACCTGACTAGTTCTCCAAGGCTTTCTCCCCCCCCAGCCATCCTGAAAGCAGTTGATAAGTTCCAATTTCTTACACTAAACGGAGGAATCCACTTCTCTAGCCACAGCCCTACCCAATAGAACTATACTTACTACCTAATCAACTTTTAGCCGTGTAGTTCCTTTCCTCAACTTTTGGCTGCTGCCTTCTGGTACCCGCCCCAAGAAGAACTTCTTCACTCGCCCACTCACTTCTCTCTTCTTTTCTCCTTTGACATTGTTCCTGGCCCAAGTTCTTTGCTTGCCCAAACCTCTCTTCAACTCATTTGATTCGACATCTCTTCATATCACCTTATCTCGTTTCAACAATCTTCTTTACCTGCTGATCGACGTCATCCTCCGCCGCCTCCCCCAGAGTATCGCCTCGCATCGAGAGGTTCAGCCACCATGGGTGTTCTGCTACGTCGAGATTGGTATGTAAATTCACCGCACCATGGTATCGGCTATATTCACATCTCATGGATGTACGCCATGGGTACACGATATTTCCTCAACCTTGCTAACGACTATCTAGCCAGGAGACATATAATGGCTATGTCTGCGATGGCAATAGCTGGTACGATTGGGGTCGATGGATCGCCTTCGCTGTCATTGTTGGAGTAGCTTTACTTGTCTTCTTTCTCTTCGCGTATGTTCTCCCCTTCCTCCCTGTGCAAGAATAAGCCAGAAGACTAATTATGTTGGCAGCTGCTTCAATGCTCGCCGTCGGCGCAGACAAGGCCTTCGTCCCCACCCCGGCACCGCATGGCTCGCGGGCCCTCCGCCGACATTTCAGCAATCGCAGCAACAGCAACAGCCTGGGCAACCGTACTACGCAGACCCTTACTACCAGCCTGCTCCGCCGCCGCAATACTCCCCTCATCCTCAGTATGGTTACTTCGGGGGCCAGCAGCAAACGGGCATTGAACTGCAAACACCGCAGAATGCCTACCACAATGGCGGCGAACGTGTCTATCAACCACCGCCGGGTCCTCCTCCGGCCTCCAAGGTCTAATTACACCTGCTTTACTCTTCCACCAACGAAATGAAACACTATGTCTATTCTCAAGGAGTCTCTTGATCGGCCGTTGATATGGAACAGTCCAGTGGATTGGTTTCCGTCGCGCCACTGGAATATGTCGCCCTCTACCTCGCGACCGACTCGAGGGGAGGCTGTTACGAGCAACATGTGTGACGGGACTCATGAGTATCTTTTGTGTTGTATTCCCTATTCCCTACTCATATTTTAATGACTTTGTCGGGGGTGTTGATCTATGGTTTCGTCTTCTTTTTCCTCTTTCTTGTCACTATTGGGAGCCCGGTTTGCATGACGTTTCGATACCTTCCATTGCACCTATTAATTTTCTTTGTGTCATACGGCCCTCCAGGTTATTCGCCGTGGCATGTCTCCTACACCAATGTCAATTTGTTCTCTAACACATATAAATGAACTCCCGAGAGACCATATGTTGTGCAGTGAATCTGGATTCAAGTTAAGACAGCCCTGTCAGTTTTTGCCGATGCTGCGTATCTTGGCCCCTTCTGGGAATTTATTTTTGGGAGTCCAAGGGGAGGAGAACAAATGAGTACCGCAGCGCAGGCCATGGGTTAGGCAGCCGAGTTCTGCCATTGCTTTGCTTGGGGGTCCCCCGCGCTTCACCATCAAAATCATACTTCCTAGTTCTGATTCGAGCTTGAAGAAATTCGATTAACTGGTTATGATCCCCTGTTGTAGTTTTTGGATCGTATGTAGAGTATCTTATGGATGAGTATGATCGTAATTCACGAAGGACATGATGCCACGGAGGTTCAGTGGGCCCTGCGACCACCAATGAGGGGGTTTCATCTTTGTTTCGATCGACACAGGTGGAGTGCGACCGAGGAAGGGGGGATACGACAGTTTCAAGCCTCTGCATTTTTAGTCAACATACTCAGTGATAACTAAGGGCGAGATGGGGCCGCAAATACGAGGTTTGTGGTGTTTGATCGGTTGATGGTTGATGATTGTTCTCTCCGCACTCATGGAACGCCGATCTCTGACCATAAGTTCTTTCTCCTCTCTTTCGTTCCGCTTCACCCAACTTTCTCCCTTCCTCCTCCTCCTCCTCCTCCCTTCTCTTCCTCTCCATCGTTTTGGCTTCTAATCACCCCCCCCCCCTCGGTCGCTTAGGGTCTTCCTAGCGGCGCCTTTCGTTCTATCCGGCTCCCTACTTCCCAGTTCTGGAAGGGGAACTAATGCCTTGCAGGTGCCTGAAAGTCTACATCTGATCGTTCATACCTCCTTCCCCCTAAAGGCGGTGCTCTTTGAGCGCACGCACAACCCTCGAAACAAAGATCATTTATCCCTCCATCCAGTCTTTATTACACTGTTGCGTCAATCGGTTCATTGTGAGGACACGGATTTCCATATCCTGTGCCCTTGTAGAACGCGCCATTCGATTCCACCTTGCGCACATTCGGCATCGCGCAAAGTCGCAAACTGAGTCACTCATTGCACCCAGACCGAAGGCGCGGATGGATACATAAACAACGCACACATTCATTCATTATCCTCGGCATTATTGCTATTCCCGACCCCAATTACTCCGAAACGACGCCCACGATCGCTATTCGGGACGATACCGCTCCTTTTGTTATCATAACGTCGCAAATTACATGACCGCATCCAACGTGTCAGGAACACGTTTACAGAACAGACTTTACAACCTTGACCGTTTACATTCGTTTTACCCGGTCTATGAACAAGAGTGGGGTGTTTTTGGATAGACTAGTGCCAAGATTAAAGTATACGGACTGCCAGGGCTATAATGAGTCCGGTGGATACGGTCCCCGCCCCATTGTGGGCGCGAGATATAGTCAGCGATCTCAAGTCTGCCTCTTCTACATTCTCGAGTTGGGATAGTTGCATGTCCAAGGCTTACTGCAAGTACGTTACATGAAAAATCGCATAACAAACCCCTTACAATACATTCAAAAACTGACCAGAGTCTCTAGGTGGCCTGTCATTGCGGCTATCATCGTCGGCGGGCTCATTGTTCTGTCCGTCATAGCGTGTATTGTCAACTGTCTATGTTGCGGCATTCAGTGCTGCAAAGGATGTTGCGGATGTTGTTCAATGTGCTGCCCGTCGCCTCGAAACAGGCAACGCAAAGCCAAGCACTTGGATGATCCGTACCCACCCCCAGATATGCCGGGGCCTATGCCAGGGACTATGCCGCCTCCGATGCCACTCAAGTCTCCATATCAAGCCCCGCAGCCGCCGCCCGTGTATCGAGGAACGGAAGTCGCTCGATTTGACGCTCCGACGAGCCCTGCAGGATCGAAGTTCAACGAGGATGCGTTGCCTGCCATGCCCAGCTGGGATAATGCTGTGACTAAGAGGGTGGAAGATACAGGCCCCCATGTGGAGGCGGTGGAGATGGAGTCTATGAATCATGTCAGTCGCGAGCCTCGTCGGATGCCTTCTGCGCCTAGAATGAATGGAGGAGGGGTGGGTAGTGGAGGCTACATGGGCCCTCCGCCGGTTAGAACTGGCACTCCTGGTCAGTATCCCATTCGGACCGGCACGCCTGGTCAATATCCTGCTAGAACCGGCACACCTGGTCAATATCCTGTCAGAACTGGCACACTCGGGCAATACCCAGAGAGGACGGGCACTCCTGGTCATCACCTTGACCGGACAGACATTCCTGGCCACTACCCCGAGCATCAAGACTACAATGCACAAACTCCCCATGGGTACGACGCGCAGAACACATACGGGTACAATCACAATGGCCCTAGATCACCTCCTCCCATTTCTCCATACGATGAGCAGCCTTACAATCATGGCTTCCCTCATGAAGAACGGTATCATACGATGTCACCGGCTCCAACCTACACCACGCAGCCAGCTTATGCACCAGCGGAGCATTCGCAGCCTTATTATATACCATCGGAAACCCCACTCCCTCCATATATGCCAATGGACCGAACACGATCTCCGGCTCCCGCTCTCTCATCGGCCATGAATGCCCCTCGGCCCGTACCGTACCGCCAACCTTCCCCAGCGATCAGCCAATACATACCTTATCAAGGAGTCTCGCCGGTCACTCCTCCCTCACCACCGTCTTTCGCTGCCGCGCCGGCACCCCACGAAGCTAGTGACCCGGGCAGGCCCCCGAGTCTCCTGCAGAGCGGACGGAGGCCGGTGCCCAACTCTTACCGGGACGTTTGAAACCTTGTTATGACCACGGATTGATACCCGCCTGTGTTTTGAAATTTAATTCAAGAATTCCCGATGACCTTGAATGTCGAAGCCATTATGACGCAAATCAACATGACCTGAACAGATTCAGGTAGAATGCCTAACGCAAGGATATGGGCTGCCATGATATCCGAAAACCTCTAGACAAGCCCATTCCCACTCTGAGTCAACCTCATTCTACCTGGTAAAACCCCCACACAAGCAGTCAAGGCCGAATTTCACGCTGAAAAGTGACCCAGGCCTGCGCTGCGCATCTCCTTCTTGCATTCTTCTTTGATTATCAGAGAGCCCTTGCTTTTCTCTTATCATCGGAATGCCACACTATACGCCCTACGCCCTACCCCACCCCCCGTCTCCCCCGACCCTTTTGCCTGTGCATGACCTTGTATATACCTTCCCTTGTATCATACTTGGTCCGATATGGCCCGCTCGGACAAAATCCTGCGTGATGTATGTTTATTTCGTATCTGTGATGACTGTCAAGTGGAATGGCTCCTGCCGTACAATCCTGCCTAGAAATTCGATCTCGTATGGTTCGCCGAGTGAGGAGCCTCAAGACACCTGGGTCCATGCTATCTCTTGCATGTCCCGTTTTCGTCTTCGCTACAATATCTCGTATTACATGTCAACGTAACCATTCTCATGTCTGACTATCCAATGATTATCACCCAACTACGACGTACCGCCATGCTAAACCCCTGATACATTACATACGGTAAGGTATAGTCGAATTAGCTGCAGACCAAAACCCCATCCGCAAAGAATCGGCTGGGTATCGTATTGGGACAAACCCCATCAAAATACAATTCTATCTTGCGCGAGATACCCCCAGATAGTAGAATCAAAGCCAAGGTACTTCAGTTTTCGCTTCCCAATCCTGAAAACCTCTCGTTTCTTTATAAGGTGAAATCAAACTCCTTAAACGCCTCCTTGAAGGCCACCGCATCCGCCTCCTCCTGCTCCTGCGACTGGACGTCCTTGCGCCAGTCGATTCGCTTCTCCAATTCCATTAGCTTGGCCATGACCCGGCGTCCGAATTGGAGGTCGAACCGGAACTCCGGGCCGAGGGGGAGGAGGATGGTTTTGTCGGTGCCGGTGCCGGTGCCGGGGGCTGTGGCTGTGGTGGTTGTTTCGTGGGGTTCTGTTTCTGCTGCTGTTCTTGTAGGGCTGTTTGTGTTTGTGTTGGTGTCGGTGTTAGTATCGGAGTCAGCGGGAGAGGGACTCCAGATCCAGACCCGGAAATAGTCCCCGGGTTCGCTGCTGGGGTCCGCGGTGGCGGTGGGGGCCTCGAAGCGCGGGTATTTGAGGTTCTCGGCCTCGACCTTGAAGGCGGCCTCGACGAGGCCCCGCTGGACGAGGGCCGCCGGCACGGGCAGGAACTGCCAGTGCACGTGGATGCCGTTCCCGCGGCTGACCTCCCAGGTGACGGCGCCGAGGCCGCCGGCGGCGCGGCGCTGGAGCATGGCGTGCAGGGCGGTGCGGTAGCGGGTCATCTCGGCGTAGGTGGCGCGGCGGGAGGGTTCGTCGGTGATGGCGGGTAGGGTCGGGGTGTGTGTGAAGGGGATGATGAGCATGTGGCCGGGGAAGTTGAGCTCGTGGCGGGCGAAGGTGCGGGCGGTGGGGAGCGGGCCCTTGGCGGTCGTGAGGTAGCTCTCCTCGCCGATGGAGGTGATGAGGTGGGTCGCGATGTTGGGGTTGGACAGGCAGAAGAAGCATTGGTCGGGGCCGGGGGGTGGCAGGCCGCCGTTGTTGCGGGCCCGTTTCCGGGGCCGGTGCTCGTGATGCTGGTGGCTTTGGTCGAAGCGCTGGAAGCTGTCTTGTTGGCTGTCGAGGGGCTTGCGTTTGAGGTCGGCTGGTGCGGGGAAGGGGGAGGCGGTTGCGCCGGCGGGGATGGTCAGCGGCGCGGCGGCTTTCGGATCCAGCGTGAAGGCGTACATCCATTTCTGTTTGCTGGCCTTGCGGTAGGAGGCGAGGCTGATGAAGCGGGTTAGTGGCTTGGTGTCGGGGTTGTCGTCCTCGGAGGTGGGGAGGTGGAAGAAGGGTTCGCGCTCGAAGAAGAAGTCCGGCGTGGAGGTGAGGTGGTAGCGCGGTTTGAGCGTCGAGCAGAGGTCGGAGATACATTGGACTTCTTCCGGGGGCGTCGTCGTCGTGGCTTCTTCGGGGAAGGGTGCCTTGGAGCCCGTGCGGATCCCCTTGGGCCATTGGTTGGTGATGAGGATGTCGGCGGAGTGTGCGCCGTGGAGGGTGCGAGCGTCGGATTCGGTGTAGCTGGGCTGGTACTTGTCGGAGGAGGCCTGGTTGTCTGTCAAGAGCTTGCCCCCAAGGGTGACGATGCGGATGCCCTCGGCGGTCTTCAGGGTGCCGCGGCGGCCCAGGAAGTACAGGTTAGGGCAGACTTCATCGTTGGCCTCGATCGCCTCGATCACTCGCGTGGGGAGTGGCCGGCTGCCCAGGGAGAAGTAGGTTGGAAGAGGTACGGCGATGCTGCCTGAGAGCAGGGCGGATATTTGCTCCAACTCATGCTCCGTCGAGCAATCGCCGAAGAGGTCTCCAACGATGATGGCGAAGGAGAAATTCTGCTTGACATGCAGCTTCGCAAGTTTGGTAAAGACGTCTTGGAGCTCACAGTTGACACCTCCAATGACGACACTGGGAAAATGTCAGTGAATTTGTGACAGTACTGTGACCGGCGCACTCACATCTTGGAAGCCATGTTGCGATGCGATACTATGATGCAAGAATCGAGGCTGGCGCAATTGGAGTCGCACTGGACTCAATCAGGGTTCTATGGACTTCAGCCTGTTGGTATCTGCGTTCGCGCAATGAGGTTTGCAGTTGTTCTTCCACGCCCGCAGTGAATCCAATCGCATATATTGACTCCAAAGTATGTATCTTGTAGATTGAATTGAATGGAATGAAGACTGGGCTGGATCGCCAAAAATGGACCGGCAGGAGCTTGGGCCCACTGCGGTCCATTCACGTGACAAGCCTGCCAGTTGCCAGTTGTTAACCCCGGCGCTAGAAGAGACAATCTCCGCGCCCGGAACAAGGTTGCTGCGGCACCGATGAATTTTTTTGTCTATACGGCAAAGAGGGGGCGGTCATTGAACCAGTCCCCATCATTTTGATATTATTAAATTCATATACACAGCGGCGCTGCGTATTCTACGTCGCCATCATACATCAGGATGGTAGCAGCGTCGTCTTCTTCGCGGTCAAAGCCCGTGAAGCGGGTCAAAGGAGGGACAGAGACAACCAAGTCGCATCGATTCGAACCGTTTTCGCAGCGCGTCGCAAAGCTCAAGATCGACCCCATCCATCGCGTGCGCCGTCCCAGCTTTGGTGAAGAAGGCGATGAGACCTCCTCCTACTTCCGTTCGGCCTTCGACCACTGGGTTGAGTTGAACCTCTCCGAGAATTTCGTACAATTCGCCCGCCGAGTCAACCCGCTGTGCGAGAGTCTGGCCCAGATCCTGTACCATGAGGACAAGATTATGAACCTGCTGGTGGAGTTCATCGAGAAGAGGGATCAGTTGTCGATAGAGCCACTCTTGGCTCTTCTTGCCCAATTTGCACGAGATCTGGGTGTACGCTTCGAGAAGCACTTCGCCACGGCCGTCACCCTCGTCGCATCCGTCGCAGCGACCCATACCGACGTCGAAGTCGTCGAATGGAGCTTCAGCTGCCTGGCATGGATCTTCAAGTTCCTCTCACGACTTTTGGTCCCAGACCTCCGGCAGCTGCTGGGTATTATGACTCCCTATCTCGGCAAAGAACGACAAAAGACACATGTTGCCCGATTCGCCGCCGAGTCCATGTCATTTCTTATTCGCAAGGCGGGTCTGGTCTATTACAAGAACCCCACTCCCCTACAACGTGCGGTCTCGTTCCTACTGGAGGATCTGCGCCAAGCAGCTGGTGACGACAAGAATGTTGATATCTACAAGGACGGACTTATGGCCATGTTCTCCGACGCCATCAAGGGTGTCAAGAATGGCATTCACTCCAACGGAACTGATATCCTGACTTGCATTCTGGAACACATCTGCACCGGTGATGATCTTCAAAGCAGTCTGGCGCTAGACGTCGCTTGCGGATTGCTTATCAACATAATGCACAATACGTTCGCCGAGACCTATGAACCCATCCTGGATACCGTCCGCTCTTACATCGAATCATCCTGCTCCAAGACCGACAAGCAACATGCGAACGCATGCTGTCGCCTGATATTCCAGTGTATTGCCACTCGCAAGGGTTCTCGAGTCAAGGTCTGGAAGCCTGTTCATAATGTCCTCCTTCGTCTGCTCAAGAAGGCTGCAGAGGCGCCGGAGGCGTACGCCGAGGCTGCCCCGCAGCTTCTGACAGCAGTCGCATATGCACTTCAAGTCTCCCCCATGGATGAGATGTTGCCATACATGCGTTCACTCATGGATGCTGTGACCAGCGACAACCTTTCATCCTTCTTCTTGCCGTTTTGTGCTACCTTCTCGGAGTGGGGTCCCGAGAGATTCCATAGTGTCGTCCTGCCTTATTTCCAGAAATTCGTCAACACATTGTGGCAGGAGCACGAGCATGAGCTCTGCCTGGCCTTGTTGCGACTGAACCAGGCTGGTTGCATTACATCAGAAGTCTCGAAGCCTGGGTACATCACCTGCCCTGCATCGTGGAAATCCCGTGTCAAGGATACCCTGAGCAAGCCCACACACAATGCTACCGAATTGAGTCTTGTCAACGCATATTCTAAGCTACCGAATGCAATGTCTTTGTCAACAGAACCAACTTTGTTGCCCGATATGGTACAAACCTTGCATGGTCATCTGCTTCGGACCCTGAAGAAGAACAAGAAGAATGTGGATACGTCTGCGACAACCAAATTCTACTTGGGCCAGGGCTTCAAGGCATATGTGGAACTTGCCTTACAGTCCGAGAAACTCGACCGCTCTCTCTGGAAACAGATCAGCGCAGTAGCCGCGACGTACTCTCGTCTTCCAGTGTTCCTCGAAGCAACGTTGGCCTATATCTCGGCACTGAACGGAGACATCGACCTCAATGACTCCGCTGTCGAAGACTTTGCGGATGTGCTCATTACAAATCTCAACGGCCCGTCCCAGAAACTCAGGTTATTATCTTTGAAAATCCTTAGAGAACTGGTTCAAGCGTTGGGTGATGATGCAGAGATGATCTCTCTGGCCATCGAGATCGAAGAGAGTCCCTTGACGCTTCATAGCCATAGAGTTTTGGCAATGCAAGTGCGTAAGCTTGCTCTAGCTTATCCACAGGTGGTTCCTCGCAGGTGGATGGCTAGGTTGATCCCCAACTTCTGTTTTGGACTCTTTTCTAAGAAGATGACCCCGTTGTGGGACGATTCTGCGGAGGCCTTGAAATCAATGAGCGAGAATCCTGAGGGTGAGAAGATCATTTCGGATCTTGCCATGAAGTGGCTCCTTGAACGGGGCTCTCTGGACACAAATGCGGATGAGCAAGAGGAAGAAGCCCCTGACTACCGGTCTGGGTATTTCCAGTGCTTCAACGCGGCCAGGATCGAAGATATATCCGCTAAATACTTCCAAGGCCCTGAGCAACCCGATTCATTGCTAGAGGACGAGTACAGCAAGGATCATACCTTCACAGATGCACTGCCAGCCTCTCCCCGAACCCATGCTCTGCGTGTTCTGAACGCCATCCCCAATATCGCAGAGAAACGATTCCGCCAAATTGCGCCCTTGTTTCTCCAGTGGGCTTCGCGTGACGACGACGAGAGTCCCTCGGACGAAGACTTCATCCCTTGGGGCTTCCTTGATCGTCTGGCATTCCTCAGGCTTCTTGGTCAATTTGTGAATCCTCGTGTTCTATACAAAGCTCCTGAGATCCACGATGCTATCCTGGGATTGCTTTGCCATGGTAACTCCGACATTCAAAAATGCGCACTCAAAGCTCTCTTTACTTGGAAGTCACCAAGTATTGTCCCCTACCAAGAAAATCTTATGAACATCATGGATGAAAACCGCTTTAGGGATGAGCTTTCTGTGTTCGTTCGCGTTGGCGGCGAAGATAGCTTGATCGAGGAGGCACACCGGCCTGAGCTTGTTCCTGTTCTCCTCCGTGTATTGTATGGTCGTATGATCTCGAAGGCAGGCGCGACTTCTAGCCAGGCAGGGCAAACGGGTCGGAGAAAGGCTATTCTGAGAACCCTGTCACAGCTACCTGATAAGGAATTCGAGGTCTTCATGCAAGTCTCATTCGGTCCTCTTAGCGATGTCAGTCTTGTCCGCGATGGTCAAATTGAGCAGCAAGCTTTCGAGCAGTCTCTGGCTAGTCCGAGGAAACAAATGGGTCTGCTGAAGATGATAGAAACTGTTTTCGAAACACTTCAAAACCGAATGGTCCCTTATGCGGAGAGATCTATGAACGTGGTGCTTTATTGTCTTGTGCGAGCATGCCGAGACCTTGAGAAAGCGCAGACAGCGTCAGCTGCAGACTCGCAGGAAGAACGGCAGCTGACAGTGCTGCGTAATATCCGCTACACGTGCGTACGCTGTCTCGACCTCGTCTTTGCCATATCTCTCGAGGTTGATTGGTCGTCTTACGTTCGCATGATTTTCGACGAGGTAATCAACCCAAGACTGGCAGACTTTGCCATTGAAACCGCTCAGGGCGTATCCGGTCTCCTCAAGCTCTTCCATACCTGGGCCACTGCCCCGAAATCGTCATTCTATCTCACCAAATTCAACGATGCCCTCCTGACGAAGGTGGTCGATATTCTTGGTGTCGACTCCGCACGAGATGAGGTCAAGGCTTTCGTCATGGATGAGGTCTTGAATCCCTTGATCGGCTTGGCCACCGGAAAGACGCTTCAGGATAACGAGACCATGAGCGATTTTCCTGCGGACGAAATTAAGACTCAGGTTCTGGGTCCTTATATTGAGCACACTCTGTCTCACTTGGCTCAGCTCCTCAAACGCGGCCCCTCTCGTACATTGCTTGTCTCGGGTGTTCAAACTCTTTCCCTAATCTCGCCTTGTGTCGAATCTTCGAAGGAGACATACAGCCTCATCAGCATCACTACCTATCTTCTCCGCCAACCCCCTGACAGGGTGTCCCCTAAAACGAAATCTGGCCTCCTACGCTCACTGGAGCATTTCCTACCCTTATTCAACCACCAGGAGGATGTTGAGCTCACTAAAGCCGTGTTTGAGGCCATCTCGTCCCTTTTCGATTACTTCCGGGATGATGCGAATAGAGAAGTGTTGTCCAGAGTCTTCACGGCGTTCGCCTCCCACGACTCTGATCTTACCAAGGTTGCAAGTCTCTGTGAGGACCTGAACTCCATCTCCAGAAAGAAGCTGGAAGTCGATTACGAACGTCGACTGCAAGCTTTCAGAGAAATCAACGACAATTTGTGGGAGAAGCTTGACGCCAAGCAGTGGCGCCCGCTGCTCTACAATGTGTTGTATCAAGTCAAGGATGAGGAAGAACTCGCAATCCGGACGAGTGCTGCTTTCGGCCTGAAGCAATTCATGGAGCGAGCCATTCTTCCCAAGGACAAGGACGAAATGGAACTGCTTGTATCGGATATCTTGTTCCCTGCTTTGCAGGCCGGTGTTCGCCAGAAGTCAGAGCTTATCCGCGCCGAGTTTGTGGCTGCGCTGGGGTACTTCATCAAGTTGAACCCTGAACGCCCCACCGTGAAAGACATGCATGTCTTGCTCGTGG